TTTTTTTTCACTCACCGCTGCGGCATTCTGTTGCTGTTGCTGCAATTGTTGTTGCTGTGCCTGTTGAGCTTGCTGCTGTTGCTGTTGTGCCGCTTGCTGTTGTTGCTGTTGGGCCTGTTGTTGCTGTTGCTGCTGTTGCTGTGCCTGTTGTTGCTGTTGCTGCTGCTGTGCCTGTTGTTGCTGCTGTTGCTGTTGCTGTGCCTGTTGTTGTTGCTGTTGCAACTGTGCAGCGGTGTTGGCATCTATCTGTCCAGAATTCGCAGCCGAATACCACCACTGTGAACCGGGTACCGCTGCCGCTGCAGCTGCTTGTGCCATATTAAGACGATAATCGTAGCCGGTCGAACCGGCCGCATTTGAGGTAGCGACCACCTGTGCCATGGTCGTGGCTGGATTTGGGAAGCTACTAGCCATTTTATAGGTAAATAACTGTTGGGTGCCTACACCAGAAGTGGTGTTGGCATTATTTTGATGTGCTTGCTGTTGATTTTGTTGCACGACCACTTGATGGGCCTGCTGTTGTTGCAATTGTTGTTGCTGTACTGCCTGCTGTTGTTGCTGCGCAGCCAACTGCTGCTGATAGTGTTGAAGAGTTTGCTGATCAATGGTTGGTTGTTGTTGTTGGTGTTGTTGTTGTGACGCTGCCGCCGCGATCGCGCCAGGCCACCAAAGGGCGGCCTCGGCTGCGGTCGCTTGGCGGTTGCCCCACGCGCTATGCTCTGACATTTTGGTGGGCGAATGGGTGGCGGCGCACCAACGTATACCGATAACTACAAAAATTGGCGATGAAAGGATTTTTAAATGTTTTAATTTATGTTTTCGCGTTGCGGAATTTTACGGAAGACTTTCAATGTAATTTTTTATTTGATTTTACCGGCTATATTGGAGAATATATGATCACTTTCAACGCAATATTATGCATTTTTCGTAACTACTCAACTTAAGTTAGCAATTTTTACTAATTTTTATTTACAAGTATGAATTAATTTTTAAAATTTTTATTGCACGACTTTTAAGGCATATAGGTACGCGGTGCGGCGGAAGGATTACTTTATATACATATATGTATGTAATACAATACTATTTGGCATTATACATAGCATATTAAATTACTTTGGACGTATGTACATTGGTATTGCCTTTGCATTGGCTATGTTGGTGTTAATACACCACACTGAATTGCGGTGACTACGAACTTGACGCACAACACTAGCAGATAATGCTGATAAAATAGGTTTTGTTATCCTAAACCATGTAACAATTGAGACCACGCTAATTTCTCTTCGTACTGACGCATTTCTTTTATACGTATTTATGGAAAATGCGTTATGCACTAGAAATTCCCTCCTTGGCGTTATGCTAAAATTTTTGTGTACCGACACTAATGTTGTGCACAGCATTTGCGTCAATTTATTAGATATTTTAATACACTTTCACAAAATTGCAATGAAAATACGACCACAAATCGGCTTATCGGCACTTATTATTTCTTATCTTGTTATTTTTAAAGTAATTTTTTTTTATTTTAAGATATTGATTTAAGCTGGGTTTCTATTGATTTGTCTTGCAAAGTTTTAATTTCATATTTAAGTATGTACCTATGTACATACATCCATACTACGTTGAATTTCTTAATTATGTATAGCTGTTCGCAAAAAAAACTTGTAGAAGGGCACAATTAATTCGTTACAACTTTAAGCTTATTGCCAATATGCTTGCACATATTCACATACATACATACATACATACATACGTATGGTGCAATATGAATGTCCTTTTATTTTACTACTTAAGTAGGTAATTACTTTCAATGTGTTATTGTAGCACTTTTTGAATTATTTTTAGACATTTTTTCAGAAATATTTTACACGCGGCGCGCTTAGAAATAAAATGTGTGGTGAACGAACCACGAACGAGCTAGTAAAGTGTGTGTGCAGTAGAAACAGGCAAGAAAAAATTCATCACTGATACGGGGAGGAGGAGGGGGCCTATACCAACAACAAGAAGAAGCTTCAGCAACGATCCGCCATTTAACAAGAAGCGAAGCGGCTGTTCGCATTCACGGTCGTGTGGTTGGTCGACGTCACTTCTCGCGCATTCATTGCGGCCGCCGTTGTGTTATTATTGCCTTTTGACTTGTCTTCGCGAATGGCTATAAAACAGTGGGGAAGTGTTGTTATTGTTGCTAACGCAGCCTTTAACGTGCATACATATGTGTATTAATGTATGTATGTACTAACATATGTACATATGATATGTATGTACATGAACAAAAATGTAATGATGCTCTCGGGTTTTGCGCGCATTTTTATTGCCGCGTTTCCTCTACTGGGTTCGATAAGAGCGTGTCAAACGTGGTAATATATTTTCAACTTTCCACGCAATTATTCGCTGTCAAATTGAGAATGAGAAATTTTATTTCGATGTGTGAACACCCAGAAAGACTTTTCTGTCACATTTCGGAAATCAATTTCAGAAATAAAAGTTGAAAGATGTGACTGCAATTGAGAGAGCGCAAATCGATTTCGGACATAAAAAACCTCTTTCGAAAGTCACTTTGACAGACTTTTCGAAATATATTGCATTGCCACGTCTGACAGGCTCTCTATACTCATGGTAGCTTGCAGTTTTCTTCCCTACATCTCTTACATTTTCTTCATTCTTCAATTGGATAGTATGATACAAATTTTAAGCATTTCTTGTTAAACAAACATTTAATGGTAACCCCATGGTAATTAAATATCAGTGACTGATAACAGGCGTTTGCAGCAAACGGTATGTACGAACATACAAACATACGTACATATGTGCATATGGAAGCAACGATGCAAAATTTGTTTTGTTTTGCCAATTTGATTCGTTTGTAATTCATTCACAATGAATGACTAGACGCAAATACGTACATATGTATGTAGGAAGTATGTATGTATATGGTACATACTCACATTCTTCTTTTTTTGCGAAAAGAGAAAAAATATTTCAGTGAAAGTATAATTTCAAAAAAAGGCTCTACGCTTTCAATAGCCGGCTTTTTGGGGGGTGTTGAGGATTCCTCAAAAAGGAAATAACAGTACCGAAACACTCATGCCTACTATGTATGTACATATGTATGTACATATGCATCTAGGAATATTTGTTGATAAAAGTTACACGACAACATTTCTATGCATGCAGTCATTTAATCGGGAAAACACCCATTTGTAAAACAGAGTGTTTGTATGTATGTAAGGACTTCATCAAACACATTACATACTCCCTTTTTTCACAGGCTTTGATAACATCAGTCGAAAATTTATGAAAACAAAAGCAATTCACCCACTTAGTTTGCCGTGCCGGCGCTTGCTTTTGCCTTTTTATTTTCATAATTCAATAATGAAACAATTTGCGTTTTTTCCCCTCAAAAGATACCTATGTATGTATGTATGTATTCGAACGAGGAGCATGAGCAAAAAGTCTACACCATTGAAGGCGACACTTCTACGATGATATCCGAACGACCAACAGACTGAACGACAGACAGATACCATTGAAACGACTCGGCGGCACACGTTATTTGCCACAAAATGCAAAAACTTATACAAACAGATGTACATTTCCAAGCAGACGAAAGAAAAATTGTAGACTGTTGCCGATTTGACTTGCACAATTTTTTTTTTATTTCTTTTTTTTTGCTGTATCATCCCCCCACCCCTGCTGACAAAATTACAAAATTGTTTCTTTTTTTGCGATATGTAAGTATGTATGCATGTATGTACATAAATATGTATGTATTCACACAAAAAAAAAAAGTTTATGAATTAATTCACAATTGCCACTGTAGCTGCTATGTTTACGGTTTCCCTTCTCGTCCTTGCTATATCAACTGCACGTTTTTATGCTTTGTAAGGTATTGTCGTTTGTTGGCTGCTTGCTGCCCCCGCCAGCCTACTTGCGTTCCAAGAATTTCTTTTTTGCTATACGTTTATTCTCTACTACACTAGCTCTTGGTCACACTAATACGTTTGCCTCTGCCGCTTACTACAATTGAATGGCAAAGGCAAAGCAAGTAATCCGCTGCTGCTGCCTTTGCTCTACCGAGATAGCTCGTCGCCCTTTGCCAACGACACCAACAGCACCGGAAAGTACATACAATATATGTATATGTGTATGTACATACAGGCATGTGTCGAATATTAAAATCACCAAGCAAAATCCTGATGATTTGAACTGTCAAAAGTCACAATATTTAAATTAAAACTTTTTCATGTAAAGTCAGAATTATTTATAATGTTGATATTTTAATATAAAAACTTAAATGAGAAGGAATTTACTCAATAAGCGTGGAAGCACTTAAAAACAAAATAAAGCTACATAGCATAGAAAATATCTTCAATTATCCTCATTAATAAGTAAAAGCAAAGATACATAATTTTATACCAATTTGAAATTTTCAGGTTAAAAAAGTATACCTCGGGAGAAAAACTCTGTTAATAGAATAACTTTAGAAAAAAAAAATTTGCTTAAAGTTAGTATTGTTTATTGATTGATCGAAGAAGCTTTTAGTTTTAAGTAGTCGCTATGACAATTGTGGGCTGGGTATTAGCAATCAATATTCAAAGAACGTTTTTTTGTGTGGTCTTAATATTTTACACATGACTGTACATACACACAACAAACACATACTTATGTACACGACGGTAATGCTAGCGTGACTCTACCCAGCGAAAATCAACGACGAGCAGGCGGCAGCATTGAATTCGTTCATTTTAGCACCGAGGCAACATCGGCGGCGCTTATCATATGTACACAGCAGTGTTGATTTTTGAAAAGAAAGGAACATACATACCTTAGTAGGTACATAAATTGTACCTAAAACATTCATAATGACCTTATGTGCACATATGTTAGCGTTTGGCCGAGCTTCTCCTCCGATTTATGGCGTGCGTCTTGAAGTTTTTACACAAAGAGGAGGGACCTACATTTTTATGCCTACTCCGAACGGCGATTGTATTTTTATGAGAAGCTGTTTTTCATGGCAGAAATACACTCGGAGGTTTGCTATTAGAAAACACTTGTGTTTTTTTTTTTTTTGATGTTGGGTTGAACCGGGCTTGAACCCAGACCCTGCGGAATGGTAGCGCGCACTGCTAACCACTACATCGTCCAATAATTGGAAGCTTTTCGGTATTACTAATTTTACATTTAAATTGTTAGTGGTGAACTGTTCACTAATGGCATAATTCTCCATTTTCTACGCAAGAAGTTCGTGTCTTAAGTCTTTCGTTTACTTAGTTTGCACAATTACGTTTCAGCACTTTTTTGATTAATTTTAATATTCAAACATTTTAAACTATCCTTCGCGAATAGTTCAGAGAAGATTGCTCCCGTTCCCTAGACTTTTAGTTGTAAAATTGTTCTTGGACAGAAAGTTCCCTACACTTTCGTTCCACTTTTGTTCTTTGCCAAAACGTTACTTAGAATGTTGTTCCCATTTTGTTCTCTTAAAAATTTTCCCGAAATTTGTATATGCATTTTGGTCGCTTTGAGAACGTTTCCCAAGGTTTTGTTCTTATATAATTCCCGTTGAGAACGTTCTCGATAGTTTTTGAGCGATCTTGGGAACAAAACTTCTAGTTACATATGTACACATGTACAAATTTGCTACGAGTATGGTTTTATTTAAACAAAAATTGTCATTGTAACAAAGTTAATTGTAATACTGCATTTTTGCCTCCTGTCAGCAAATTAATTTTATTTTTACTGTGGCCCAAAACGGGCAGATGACGACTTAGCAGCGAATGTACATGGTCGAAGACCTATTCTAATCTAAATCAATCGATATACCGTTTATTTTTAGTCCCAATTGGTGTTTCCACTTATTTGACGACAAATGCGAGTGAATTTGTCGTGGTAAATATAATCGACTCTTAAAGTTAACTGCAGCTTTTTTGACATATATCCCATTGAAAGTTATGCCAAAAAGCTCACTTTTTTAACTTTAGAGTTGACTTTATTTTGACTCAAACTATGGGTCAATATTTTTTACAAACAATAAAGCAGCCTACTACCTTCTTTGATGTGCGCAAGTAGTTAAAAGATAACTATGTAGTTTATGCAGTCATTTTCTTACATTACAATGAATAACAGAATCCAAATGATTTTTTTTTTTATTCTACCTAATTTCAAGCAATTTTGCATAACGTACCTTTTAACTGAAAGAGGACTAAAAAGGTACAAATGTATCTGCAAAATCAACACTGTTACACACGTGTATACACACATACAATCCTATTAATACAAACGAGTAGGGTACAGCGAGCAAAAGAACGAACGACGAACCAACGACCATCCGACCCTATCTTTGAGTAGGTACAATCATGTGTGTGAGTAGATATGTGAATATATCTAATAATATCATATAATACATGGTATGCACACCCGTGCTGCCGCTTTGATACAATTTCATCCAAATGAACATATTTTCGCACAAAATTTTGGGGGTAATTTTTTGACCGGTATAAATTTGAAAATCTTTGACATAAAAAAAAAATGTAAAAAATATGATTCTATACTTGCATAATTTTGCCATGTTATATGATGGCACATTTTATGAAAGCACCCTTTAATTTCAATTATGTGTATTTTAATTCAAATCTGCAAAGTTTATACTTACTGCCGATTAGGTTTTACAAACAACATAGAAAACAAAGAAGGTGTCTAGTAGTATTATATGTCCTGTCTAGTAGTAGAATACCACCCAACAAAACTCGGCTAGAAGTTTACCACTCGGCTGGTTACTTGTTGTTGAAGGCAAAGGGGAAGGGTGAACAATTGCGACATGTGGCCGGAATATGAGAACATACTAACAGTGGGCGGAGCCAAGTAGTTGCAACTTTTGACGAACTGCATAAGAACAGAAACGGACCTAGAGCCTAGTGACCAAACCACCTCCAGACGAAATACTTAACGGTAGTACCGGGCGTATCAGTACTGGACGGTAGGTTTAGTTCCGAGTTGAAGTTTCCACGTAAAAAAGCTAGTAGTCAAACTTTTTTAACTCTCAACTATGCAATTCGTAACAAACCATGTTTTTGTATTTTTGCTCTTCGTGTAAAATAGTGGATAGTGGAAATATCACCTTTTGATTAAATACTCCTAATTTATTAAACCAAAAAAGTTTTCTTCAGTTGAAAAGCACAACGTTAACTTTTATTTGCTAAAAAAAATTATGCAAAATTCTTCTGTGTGTAACTCTATGTACATATGTACATTAGGGTAGTCCAAACTAAGTAAAGTCAGAATTTTATTGCCCTCACTCTCTAGGATTGTTCTATATCGAGTTTTATATGATTTTAAAATGCTGGCATACTTCAAAAAATTAATGATGGCCGGCGAATTGAGCGAGCGGTTTTACCCATGATAAAAACAAAGTAAGGTAAAACCGTTCTCTCAATTCGTCGGCCATGATTTTTTTTTTATTTGCCAACATTTTAAAATCATATAAAATTGAGAGTAAAAAAAGAAATTGTTCAAAGTTGTTGTTTGAGATTGAAAATTTAAAAATTACCAGTGGTTTTTTAGATTTTTTTTTTCGCCAAAGGTATTGCGGGTTTCTTTCATATAAAAATAATTGTATTTTGCGTATTCGTTATATGGAAGCAAATGCGACAAAAAAAAATTCTAAAAAATCAACGGTAGTTTTTAGCCACTTGAAACTTGCACATTATTAGACTATATATAATGGGCTATAAAACTGTGTACTCAGAAAAATTCTAGCACATCTGAGAATAAAGTTTGAAATTTGAATGAAAATTTTTTGCATAATTTTGTAGTCTTTTAAAAAGTTTTAAACTTGGGTTTATATGAGTTTTGTTGGAGAATGAACTTAAAAATTCTGAAAAATAAATAATTAAACATAAGTGGCAAACAATATCACTTTGAAAGGGGGGGTGCTATAGATATGTATGTCCAATACTGTATATTAGGATGTTGCTTTAATTTCTTAATTCTTAGAGCTCCTTGTTGTAGTTCATAGGCATAAACTACTCGCTCTACTGCCGCTGGTGCTGCGTTTCGCTTTGATTGGGCACATCCGTTCCGAGGCTGAAAAATTACTGCCGAAAATTGGTTGGAACCAACAAACAACACTTTGTGAAGTTATCATGCACGTGGTCATCCCAAAATATGCAGCCAATCGCAGTAAATAATGATGAAAACAATTTCATGAATAAATAGATTCTCTATGTGCATTTCACACTAGGGGTATTCACGATCCGGTGCATACTGTCTAGCATGGTGCATAGATAGCATAAATAGCATGACTGTTGTTGTTTATGTGTCCAAACAACAACAAAACTAGCCAGTCGTGCTATCTATGCACCATGCTAGACAGTATGCACCGGATCGTGAATACCCCTACTGTAAATGGAGTATTTCACTTGCCTTCCGTTAAACCTGCCAGAATGTACTTGAAAAAAAATAAATATGTAAAACATAGATTAATCCAGTACTGAAAAAATACCCAAAAAGACAAAGAGTACACCTCAACACCAACAACAAAATATTTGCGTAACGGAAAAGGGGCATCGAATGGCGAACGAAAAATCGACCAACAGAAAAACGAACACGAACCACGAACAATCGTTGCCTGGAGTGAGCGGCATGCCTTTTGGAATGTTGTCGCGTGTCAGGAGGGGAGTATGAGTGAAACTTTTTTTATGTGGAGGAAAATGCATAGAACCGCCAGAAAAAAAAAATTATTAAAAATCAACGCGATTTCGTAGTAGCTTCATTTTTACACATTATTCTACTAAAATTTAATGGGCTATAAAACTGCGTACTTTTTTTTAAAAAATCTGAATAAAAAATTGTAAATTTTGATTAAAATTCGCTGAATTTTACTTAATTTTGCATAAAACTTGAAACTTTGGTTTATATGACTGTTTTAAGCGTGATCCATATTTTTATAAAAAATAACAAACAAATTTTAGCTTGTAAAATATTGTGAATATTTAAAAAAGAAACTGTGTATGCAGACTTTTGCTGTTAAGTGTACATACATATGTATGCATGTATGTACATAATATGCAAATTTCAATTTGAACATTTTTAGGCCGCGTTTTTTGCTTCTTAAACACCTAATTTTCGAACCGCAGTTAGCAAATATGTATGAAACAGATGAATGAAACATTTAGCATTAGAACTCGAAAACAATATTTTTTTTTCGTACGAATGTGTAATTAAAAACTCATGGATACCAGTGTTGCCGGCTAAACTGTTTCAACTATATTTCGCATGTTTTATTTAAATAAATCACAAGTAGAAAGACTAGTTCTTGGAGAAAAGTTGCAAATACAAGCTGGAAAAAACTTTGCCAGCAAGAATTTGTAATTAAGAAAAACACATGATTGTGGATAACTTGGATAAACAAGTTCGTTAAATTTGAAAATTTACAAACTTAAGCGATTTTAAAATGAAAAATGTAAGCAAATACTTGTTTACTTAATTAATTCCAACGATTTGAAAGCTATTCGGCTGAAAAAAACTGTATTCGTAATCGGAATTAAATTTAAAACAAACATTTTATGAAGAAAATCCACGCTACGGCTTTCTTTAGAAAAAACATATTTGTCCAAAATCGAAATAATCGAAATCGGCCCAATTTTATATAACCCTGTCTGCTAGTAGCCATTTCTAACAGATTTTGGGTTGCTTAGTCAAAAATAGAAACATATATACTTTAATTTAAAAAAACAGGGCAAATAGCAAAATCGGCTAAGAACGGCTAATTTTTTTTTTGCAAAACGGCTAACAAATCGGCTGCCGGCTAAACTGAATTTTCTCACGGCTGTTTGCTATTGCAACGGGTTAAATCTAGACGGAAAACGTCTAAAATGGCCAACACAGATGCACACCCGCGGTACACATGTCGATAGTGTATTTGCGTGGTATTTTTTAGTTGCGCGTTCTAGGGTTAAAATAAAATTTTTCATCTCAACAACCAAACTCTCTTTCATTTTCTCTTTCCTCTCACTACTCTCTCTGCGCCAACTGCTGTTTTTACACAATTTCATACATTTTTCTACAGCCAACTCTCTTTGCATCTCTTCACTGCTCAACCAATGTATAATGCATTCCTCTTTGTAGTGTTGTTAAATGCCACCTATCCAAATAAACCAATTCCAACAAAAGAAAATAAGTGCTACCACAGTGTTGATTTCCGTCGAACTTATTGTTTGCCCATTGCTTACAAAGTTTACCATTAGTCAATTGATGTCTCAGTGAGAGACGCGCAGAACTTTAATTTAATGCTTGAGTACATGTTGTTTTTATGATGTTAACATTAACAGCAACATTTAGCGAGCACCTAAGCAACCACAATAGATTCAAAGGAGAGACGATTAGTGGGGCACGGTTACAAATTGCTATCTCCAAACAAACCAAATAGCGTCACTTTTGCCGGTGTCTGGCTGTCTGACTAAGTGCCTGCTGGTTGGGTTATCTCTTGGGTCTTAATGTGTTGAAAAAAATTTTCCCGCCAATTTTTTTAACAAAATAAATGACAACAACATAGCATCAACGTTGATTGCGTCGTTGCAAGACGACGCCAACGGCAATTGAAACGACTGAACTGATATGAGAAGTTGT